GCCTCCTCTTCGTCTGTCAGCATGTCCCCTAGCCCGGCCCCCCCCCTTCGTCCCCGCACATGTCTCGGGCCACGATGCGTCCCACCCCCTCTCTTTTTTGTGGCCCCTCTGTCCATTGCACCCGAGAGGTGCAGTCAGGACTCTGAGAGAAGGACCGCCTCGGGCGCAGGATCCGGCCGCGGTTTCCGGGCCGCTCCTCAGATCCAGGTCGGGGGACCTGGTCGTGGCCCGGGCTCGCCGTGGCCAGAACAGGCCCGTGCGTTCTTCGCGAAGTGCTCCTCATGGTCGCACGGTGGCTGTGCGGGGCCACGAGCTTCGAAACTGCAGCCGAGGCGGATCAGTATGTCGACCCTGCCAAATCAAGGGTGGTCCTGCGCCCTGTGTTTCGCGATCCATGCCCTTCTACATTCCCGAGTCAATGTGGCCCTCGGAAGGCTCTGGTGACTTCTCGCGTGTCCTCTCCGATCAGCTCCGACTGTGTATGGCGTCGTCGGAGGTCTGGGCCTGAGGCTGGGCCCTCGACTGCACGATGCCCTGCTGCCCCCCCCGGCAGGGCAGCCACGCCTTTGCGGCGCGTGCTTGTGCTTCGCCTGCTCGCGGGGGTCAGCCCTTTGGGGGGTCAGGAGGAGGTAGGCCTTGCATGTTTCGTGCTCGGGGCCGTGCTTGTCGCAAAAGCCGCGTCTTCCCTGTTACTTCCTGGGCAATGCCCCTGGAAGTTCCTCGCCCCGACTGTTTTTTGTTCCCAACCAACCTGTGTTGTTGGGTCCTCGTTTTGAAGAGACGGTCCCCGCGTTCCTCCTCCTCCTCGTCCTCCTCCTCCTCCTCCTCCTCCTCCTCCTCCTCCTCCTCCCCCTCCTCCCTCCTTCTCCTCCTCCTCCTCCCCCTCTTCCCTGCGTTTCACCCACCCAGTACAGCGCTTCGTAGCCCCATAGGGAGCTCCACCGAAGGCCCCAGTGCCACCGTCCGCATGCGTCCCCTCCACTCCGTACAGCGTTTCGTGGCCCCATAGGGAGCTCCACCGAAGGCACCAGTGCCACCGTCCACATGCGTCCCCCCCACTCAGTACAGCGCTTCGTGGCTCCATAGGGAGCTCCACCGAAGGCACCAGTGCCACCGTCCACATCCGTCCCCCCCACTCAGTACAGCGTCACCGTCCACATGCGTCCCCCCCACTCAGTACAGCGTTTTGTGGCCCCATAGGGAGCTCCACCGAAGGCCCCAGTGCAACCGTCCACATGCGCCCCCCTCCACTCAGTACAGCGTTTCGTGGCCCCATAGGGAGCTGCACCGAAGGCCCCAGTGTCACCGTCCACATGCGTCCCCCCCATTCCGTACAGCGCTTCGTGGCCCCATAGGGAGCTCCACCGAAGGCCCCAGTACCACCGTCCAAATGCGTCCCCCCCACTGAGTACAGCGTTTCGTGGCCCCATAGGGAGCTCCACCGAAGGCGCCAGCGCCACCGTCCACATGCGTCCCCCCCACTCACTACAGCGTTTCGTGGCCCCATAGGAAGCCCCACCGAAGGTCACAGTGCTACCGTCCACATGCGTCCCCCCCACTGAGGACAGCGGTTCGTGGCCACATAGGGAGCTCCACCGAAGGCCCCAGTGGGACCGTCCGAGTGCGTCCTGAACACACACAATTTGGCATTTTTGCTCACCCATTACAGCGTTTCGTGGTCCCACAGGGAGCTCCACCGAAGACCCCCAGTGCCACCGTCCGCATGCGTCCCGCACACCCAATGTGGCATTTTCACCCACCCAGTGCAGCGTTTCGTGGCCCCACAGGGAGCTCCACCGAAGGCCCCAGTGGGACCGTCCGCAAGCGTCCCGAAACACTCATTGCGGCATTTTCACCCACCCAGTCCAGAATTTCGTGGCCCCGTAGGGAACTCCACCGAAGGCCCCAGTGCCACCGTCCGCATGCGCCCCGAAAGCCCAACGTGGCATTGCTACCCACCCAACACAGCGTTTCGTGGCCCCTTAGTGAGCTCCACCGAAGCCCCCCAGTGGGACCGTCCGCATGCGTCCCGGAAGCCCAATTTGACATTGCCACCCACCCAGTACAGCGTTTCGTGGCCCCATAGGGAGTTCCACCGAAGCTGACCGTCCGCATGCGTCCCGGACGCCCAATTTGGCATTTTCACTTACCCAGTTCAGCGTTTCGTGGCCCCATAGGGAGCTCCACCGAAGCCCCCAGTGGGACCGTCCGCATGCGTCCCACAAACCTTACTTGACACACTACTCACCCAGAACAGCGTTCCCCCCCACCCAGTGTAGCGCTTCGTGGCCCCACAGGGAGTTTCCCCGAAGACGATTTTCACAAGTGCGGTACCCACAACTGCATATGTTTGGTTCCTTCGCCAGGATAATTTTTCCCAACCATCATGTGGTGGTGGGTCCTCGTTTTGAAGAGACGGTCCCCGTGTTCCTCCTCTCCTCCTCTCCTCCTCATCCCCCTCCTTCCTACCGTCCGCATGCGCCCCCCCCACCCAGTACAGCGTTTCGTAGCCCCATAGGGAGCTCCACCGAAGGCCCCAGTGGGACCGTCCACATGCGTCCCCCCCACTCAGTACAGCGTTTCGTGGCCCCATAGGGAGCTCCACCGAAGGCCCCAGTGCCACCGTCCACATGCGTCCCCCCCATCAGTACAGCGTTCGTGGCCCCCAGCTGCTCAGTACCGCTCCACCGAAGGCCCCAGTGCCACCGTCCACATGAGTCCCCCCCATTCAGTACAGCGTTTTCGTGGCCCCATGGGGAGCTCCACCGAAGCCCCCAGTGCCACCGTCCACATGCGTTCACACGTTCCCCCCATCACGTACAGCGTTTCGTGGCCCCATGGGGGAACCGAAGACCCCAGTGCCACCGTCCACATGCGTCCCCCCCACTCAGTACAGCGTTTCGTGGCCCCATAGGGAGCTGCACCGAAGGCCCCAGTGCCACCGTCCACATGCGTCCCCCCCACTCAGTACAGCGTTTCGTGGCCCCATGGGAAGCTCCACCGAAGGCCCCAGTGGGACCGTCCACATGCGTCCCCCTCACTCAGTACAGCGCTTCGTGGCCCCATGGGGAGTTCCACCGAAGGCCCCAGTGGGACCGTCCACACGTGTCTCCCCCACTCAGTACAGCGTTTCGTGGCCCCATAGGGAGCTCCACCGAAGGCCCCAGTGGGACCGTCCGCATGCGTCCCCCTCCCACTCAGTACAGCGTTTCGTGGCCACATAGGGAGCTCCACCGAAGGTTTCAGTGCCACTGTCCACATGCGCCCCCCCCCACTCAGTACAGCGCTTCCTGGCCTCATAGGGAGCTCCACCGAAGGCCCCAGTGGGACCGTCCGAGTGTGTCCTGGAACACCCAATTTGGCATGTTCACCCACCCATCACAGCGTTTCGTGGCCCCACAGGGAGCTCCACCGAAGACCCCAGTGCCACCGTCCGCATGCGTCCCGCACACCCAATGTGGCATTTTCACCCACCCAGTGCAGCGTTTCGTGGTTCCACAGGGAGCTCCACCGAAGGCCCCAGTGGGACCGTCCGCAAGCGTCCCGAAACACTCATTGTGGCATTTTCACCCACCCAGTCCAGAATTTCGTGGCCCCGTAGGGAACTCCACCGAAGGCCCCAGTGCCACCGTCCGCATGCGCCCCGAAAGCCCAACGTGGCATTTCTACCCACCCAATACAGCGTTTCGTGGCCCCTTAGTGAGCTCCACCGAAGCCCCCAGTGGGACCGTCCGCATGCGTCCCGGAAGACCAATTTGGCATTTTCACCCACCCAGTACAGCGCTTCGTGGCCGCATAGGGAGTTCCACCGAAGCCACCGTCCGCATGCGTCCCGGAAGCCCAATTTGGCATTTTCGCTTACCCAGTACAGCGTTTCGTGGCCCCATAGGGGGCTCCACCGAAGCCGCCAGTGGGACCGTCCGCATGCGTCCTGGAAACCTTACTTGACACATCACTCATCCAGAACAGCGTTCCCCCCCCACCCAGTGTAGCGCTTCGTGGCCCCATAGGGAGTTTCACCGAAGAAGATTTTCACAATTGCGGTACCCACAACTGCATATGGTTGGGTCCTTCGCGAGGATAATTTTTGCTCACAGCGGTTGTCTGCCTCAGTCTGCCCTTCGCTGACCCCGGCCCCCAAACGTCTGACCCCCACTGGCAGGCAAATGAGCTCGGGACTCCTATCTCGCGCTCGAGATCCCGAGGAGGGCGCATGATGGCGTCACCTGCGCACTGCAGGCTCGGCTGCCTCCAATGCCGCTCGGAAGGCAGGCCGGATCCCCAGGACCCCCTCGCGCCGTGCAGGAATCACGACGGCAGGCTTGTGGTAGGTTTCGGCTCCCGGGGACCGCCAGTGGTCCTCAGGACCGACAGCAAAAACGGCCCGAGATGACACATCTGTCCCAGGGAAGGGGCCCAGACCTCTGGAGGTGCACGCAGTGAAAAGGAAGGCGGCGTCGGAGTTCTGGGCCTGCCGGTGCCGGATCCCTGACCCAGAGATCCGATATACTTGGATTTGTTCAACGCGGAGTCCCCGGAAGTCCGTACTTTCTCCCCAGGGCCAGACATTCACCACGGGCCGTCTCTTGATTGACCTGGGTCCTGGTGAGAGCCCCGCGGTGGCCGAAACTGGCGAAGAGCGTTCGGAACTCGGCCCTCCTGGCGGCCGGTCGGGGCGATCCGGGACACCCAGGAGCATTCTCGACGAGGCGCAGCTGCTGGAGAGCATCCTGAAGCGAGAACCCCCACAAGGACCCACGGAAGCATCAACAAAGAACCTTTGAGATCCGACGGCGCGAACATCATACAGCATCGTAAGCAAGCTCGACCGGAGTCCTGGACCCCACCTGTCCTCTGCATTTTGGGGGCCGGATCGATCCGTGAGGGCCCCTGGGCCCGAGGCACAGCAGAGCTGCGCGCTGCGAACGAAAATGCGACGCCAAAGTCTCTGGGGGCCCCAGAGAACCTTTTTTCGACTTCGGCCGGCGATGCGCCGGCAGGCGCGCGCCGGTACAGGCGCGGCCGGCGGCTCTTCCTGGCGCGCGAGGACTGCGCGGCCCCGCAGGCGCTGCAGGCACTGGGGGCGAGAAGGGTTTTTCGTGGCGCCCACATCGCAGAGCGGAGGTCTTTCGGAAAACATGTGGGATGGGCCCCGATTGTCCCGGAGAGTTTCGTCCTGGGTTTCGCAGTGAGTTTCGTGCGGACTGTTTTTGGACCAGGAGTGAAGACTACAAAATATCCACATGCAAATCACGTTGTTTTTCGTTCACCGTTTAACGGTTTTGCATTGACAGACTCCTCCTCCTCCTCCTCCTCCCCCCCCTCCTCCTCCACCTCCTCCTTCTCCTCCCCCCTCCTCCTCCTCCTCTCTCCTCCCTCCTCCTCCCTTCCTCCCTCTCCTCCTCCTCCCCCTCCTCCTCCTCCTCTCCTCCTCCTCCTCCTCCTCCTCCTCCTCCTCCCTCCTCCTCTCCTCCTCCTCCTCCTCCTCCTCCCTTCCTCCTCCTCCTCCTCCTCCCTCCTCCTCCCCCTCCTCCTCCTCCCCTCCTCCTCCTCCTCCCCCTCCCCCTCCTTCTCCTTCGCCTCCTCCTCCTCCTTCTTTCCCTCCTCCTCCTCCTCCTTCTCCTCCTCCTCCTCCTCCTCCTCCTCCTCCTCCTTCTCCTGCTCCTCCTCCTCCTGCTCCTCCTCCTCCCACTCCCACTCCCAGCGCCTCCGCACTGCTTGGTAGCGCCAGGCTGTGCGCACCCTCCTTCCTCCATCCTTTTTCCATCCGTCCTCCTCCTCCCCCCTCCTCCGAGGCCGCGGCGCGCATCGCGCGCTGGCTCACCTCCGGTCTGCCTCGCACGACGGCGCAGGACCCCGTCTGGAGGGGGTGTGGGTGCAGGGTCAGGGGCAAGGCTGGGAGGTTGAGTGGGGGGGAGCGCTCAGGCAGGGAGGAGGCTTCGGAAGTGCCCCAGTAGCGTCGTAGCTGGGGAGTTCTCGCAGACTTTCATAAACAAAAAGACACGAGGGCGCCCTCGAGGGCGCGAAGTTGTGCGCGCTCCGCGGTTCGGCTCCGATTCCTCCTCATCCTCTTCTCCCCTGCGGGGCGGCGCGAAAGCGCGAAGCTACTTGCCCTTCGCGCAGCGCGAGGCGCGAAGTTGGGCGCCCTCGGGAGTCCCAACAGGGAGGGGGGGGGGGCGGGGAGCCCGAGACCACCCGCCCGCCATCGCCAGGCCCTGCAGCCGCTTCGCCGGAGACTTCCTCGCAGTCTAACTACTCGGGATGTATGCTCTCTTGTCGAAGCTGCACACTGCTCATGCCTAATTCTTCGAAGGTCTCTGATTTTTTCGGGGTCCAAGGTCCTTTCGTTTCGAACCGTTCTATCCTGGGCCTCTTCCTGGCCACCGGGGGGCCAGGAAGGATGAGACACGAGCTCAATTAGAAATGAGCACGATTAGAAATGAACGACGTGTACTCAGGACCCGTGCCCTCGTGTCAGAGCTAGCCCCATGCTGGTCGCAGCGGCCACGATCGCTCTGCCAAGCCGCGCTGCGGTGCGCACCGCCGTGCTCTCGCCCCCGTCCCCGGCGCAGCTTCCCCAGGAGCTCGTACGAGCACGCAGGAGTGCACGTCTTCGCCAGCCGACCTCCTGCCCCCTCGACCCGCCTGTTCGCCTCTGCTGCTCTTCCTCGGGCGCTCGAGGCCGGGGGCGGCTTCCGTCCGCTGCGCCTCGCCGAGCGCCCGAAAAGAGCCCCGAGCGGCCGCCGGAGCCCTGAGGCACGGGTCGGAGCCCCGAGGTACGGTGCATGTTCCGGCCGAAGTACTTCCGCGTCGTAGGTGTTTGTCAACGCAGCGTGTATCGTGTATTGCACTAAGACGCCGTTCGCACTATGCGTATCTGGATTATCATGGCGCGCCCTCTCGTCCGTGTTCTGTCGTGGCTCGGAGGTTGATCGCCCTCCTACCCTGACGCGTCGATGTGCGAATTGGCCGTTTTCGGTTCGCGAGAGGGCGTCGCGGCCGTCATTCTTGCGGCTCCAGGTCCGTCGGTTTCGGCCCCAGGCCGTTTTTCACTGAGGGGAGGTTTGTAAGCGGGAGGTCTGCCCACCGCCGAATGGGCGGAAACCGCCAGAGACGGGGACAGGCTCGGGGGGGCGAAGGGCAGTCGGCCTCGAACAGCTTTTCCGGGCTCGAGGTTTCTGAGCTTCTCCATCGGTCTCCGTCGGCTGTCCAGCCTCGGGGGGCCTTCTGGCGGCGGCGGCGCCTCGCCGAGAGCGCTCGGTGGGGTGTGCAGATCGTGCCGGACGGCCGCCGGAGAGCCGAGCTGCGGACCGAGTGTCGGGGGGCATCGTTCGGAGATGCGGTCCCATTGACAGCCAGAGCGACACTTTGCAACCGAGATGGGGCACTTCACAGCCAGCAGATGGTCAGTTCACAGGATTTCCCCCTGAGAGCGACAGCGCTAGGACCAACGCATTTTGCTTGCAATCTGAACGACCACTGTGCAACCCAGACGATGCTCTTTACAACCAGAATGGCCACTTCACAATCAACGCTCAGAAGATTCCTCAACGCTCTTCAGAGGCTTCTGGGGTGTCTCAGCGCCTCTGCGCTCTGCAGAGGCTTCTGAGGTTTCTGAGCGCCTCTGCGCTCTGCAGAGACTGCAGAGGCTTCTGCGGCTTCTGAACGCCTGAACGCTTTGCCGAGGCTTCTGAGACTTCTGAGCGATTGGGCGCTTCGCAGGGGCTTCGAAGCTTGTGAGCGTTTGAACGCTACGCAGGGGCTTCTAAGCTTGTGAGCGCATGATCGCTCTTCAGAGGCTTCTGCGGCTTCCGAGCGCTTCAGCGCTTTGCAGAGGCTTCTTTCTAAGCTTGTGAGCGCGTGAGTGCTCTTCAGAGACGTCTGAGGCTTCTGGGCACTGTAGCGCCCTGCAGATGCTTTTAAGCTTGAGGGCGCGTGAGCGCTCTTCAGGGACTTCTGAGGCTTCTGAGCGCCTGGGCGAACTGCGGGGCTTCTGAGGCTTCTGAGCGCACTCCATAGGCTTCTGGGAGCGCTCCACAGGCTTCTGTCTCCATAGGCTTCTGGGAGCGCTCCACAGGCTTCTGTGCGCGCTCCAGACGCTTTCTGGGCGCGCCCTAGAGGCTTCTGGGCACGCTCCAGGGGCTTCAGGGAGCGCTCCAGATGCATCTGGGCGCGCTCCAGGGGCTTCTGAGCGCCCTCGGGAGGCTTCTGGGCGCCCTGTAGAGGTTTCTGAGTGTCTTCTAGAAGAGCCTAAGCGCCATCCAGAGGCCTTTCAGTGCTCCTGTCGTCGTCGTCGTCGTCGTCGTCGTCGTCGTCGTCGTCGTCGTCGTCGTCGTCGTCGTCCATCGTCGTTTTACTGTGCCGTCGGTCGCCGGCTGGCCGTCGCCGCCACCTTCGTGCCCTCTCGCACGCGCGCCGCCCCCCTGTCAAGATTTTGGAGGGTGAGGATGGCGAGGGTGAGGAGGAGGATGATGACGAGGAGGGTGATGATGACGAGGACGAGGAGGGTGATGATGCTGATGATAATGATGCTGCTGATGATGCTGATGATGATGATGTTGATGCTGGTGGTGATGATGATGACGATGACGATGATGATGCTGCTGATGATGATGATGACGATGATGCTGATGATGATGCTGACGATGATGGTGATGATGATGATGATGATGCTGATGATGATGATGATGATGATGATGATGATGATGATGATGATGACGAGGACGAGGCTGGGAATCAGGAGGGTGAGGAGGACGAGAGCCGTCGGAGGCTGGAGGGCCGTGGGAGCAGAAGCCGAACAGATGAGGGGCGAGGGGGGGGACGAGGGATGAGAGCCAAGATGGAGGATGGAGGGCGTCAGTTGTCGTCGTCAGTGGTCGTCGTGGTCAATCATCAGTCGTCAGGCGTCGTCGTCGTCGTCGTCGCCGCCGTCGTCGTCGTCGTCGTCGTCGTCGTCGTCGTCGTCGTCGCCGTCGTCGTCGTCGTCGTCGTCGTCGTCGTCGTTGTCGTCGTCCGTCGTCGTCTTACTGTGCCGTCGGTTGCTGGCCGACCGTCGCCGCCGCCTCCGTGCCCTCTCGCGCGTGCAGCGCCCACTAGGGAGGATGAGGAGGATGAGGAGGAGGAGGACGACGAGAAAGGAGCAGAAGGGGAATCAGGAGGATGACACATGAGGGGACGGTGACAGTGCTGCTGCTGATGATGATGATGATGATGATGATAATGATGATGTTGGTGATGCTGATGGCGATGGTGGTGGTGATGGTCGTGATGATGATGGTGATGATGATGGTAATGATGAATATGATGATGATAATGGTAATGGCGATGGTGCTGATATGATGATGGTGATGATGATGCTGATGATGTTGCTGATGATGATGATGGTGGTGATGATGCTGATGGTGATGGTGATGGTGATGATGATGATGATGATGATGATGATGATGATGATGGTGGTGGTGATGATGCTGATGGTGATGATGATGTTGTGGAGGATGAGAAGGACGAATACCGCTGCCCCATGTGCCACTGGAGGATGGACCGTGATTCTTGTTTTCTTCGAATGTATTGCGTTGATTCGGGTTTGCTGCGTGTGGCTTGGTTTGGGTTTGTTGCGCTTGGTTGCGTTTAGTTCGGGTTCGTTGCGTTCCGCTTGGTTCGGGTTTGTTGCGTTTGGTTCGGGTTTATTGCGTTCGGATTTGATTTGTTACGTTCGGCTTGGTTCGGGTTTGCTGCGTTCGGTTCGGGCTTGTTGCGTATGTTTCGGGCTTGTTGCGTTGGTTACGGTTTGTTGCGTTTGGTTCCGGTTTGTTGCGTTCGTTTCGGGTCAAGCGTGGTCCATTTCGTTCAGGTGTGTTGCATTTGGATCCGGTTTGTTGCGTTTTGGTATGGTGTGTTCTTCTGTGTGATGGTCATTCCTATGGATTGTTTCTATGGGTGGTGCCTCATGTGGTTTGCGAATTCGTTGTTTCTGTTGCTTGCCATCGCCATGCCACGTTCCGTTATCCGCACCCCCGCAATTTCGATTCATCCCCCGTGGCCCCATGCATACTCCACGTTCGCTTTATCCTCCTCCCCCCCCTCCTCCTCTCCCTCCTCCTCCTCGTCCTCCTCCCCCCCCTCCTCCTCCTCCTCCACCAACTCCTCCTCCTCCTCCTCCTCCTCGTCCTCCTCCTCCTTTTCCTCCCCCACTTCGGCCCTCCTCGTCCTCTCACCGCCTCAGGCTCTTCTCCGCTTCCGTTCTCTTCGCCTCCGATTCCCTCCTCCTTCCTCCTTCCTCCTCCTCCTCATCATCATCCTCCCCCTCACCGTCCCTCATCCCTCCCTCAGAGCAACAAACCAACCCGATTGGATTCCAATGGGTTCGTCTGATGCCAAAAGGATCTCAGCCGGAAGTGTACCAATATGATTCCAACATTACTCCCAGTGTATTGATCAGTCATCCGCTACTTTGCAGTTTCTTGCTTCAGACGGGGCACTCTACAACTAACACGCTTCAGATAACGAGCTGTTTCCCTAACTTCCCCCCACTGAGATTTCCCACATTTAAGCGCGTTTGCTTTCTGCGTTGTACAGTGATCTTCCTGGTTGTGAAGAGCCCTCCTGGAAAAGTTCTTGCTGGTTGTAAAGTGCCCATCTCGGTTGTACAGTTCCGTCCTGGTTGTGAAGTGACCCGCACGCCCCCGTTAGGCTTCAGGGAGGGCACATCGACCCCCAATCGCTTATTCATCGCCGATGGGGGTCCGATAGCCCACCCTGCCCAGGAGCGTACGGATTCGCCATCGGGGGCCTATCGCCGATCTGCTGGCAAGGTATCGCCGACTGGGTCGACTTACGTTGCCCCTCACAGGAG